CTATTACCTATTACCTATAGTATTATGGTAAAACTATGCAAAAATTGGTGATTTGCACTATAACTATGGTAGTGATTCCCAGCGGGTAGTTGTTGTTGTTTTTTTTGTCAGGTCCAAAAGATCCCCAGGTCCATTTATCAAATTGTGGATCCATTTGGATTCCCGCCATCAGATGCATCTGGGTAAATTTTTAACGACCTCACTGCGACCTCACTGGAATCATGGTTAGTGAAATACCAAAAAAATTACCCAGATACATGTAGAAATGCATAAAAATCAAAAGCCATGGGAATTCTTTGACACTTCACGGGCTGCAAAATGGCAGCATGCCTTCCCATGTTCCAGCACGGAGGCTGAAGACATCACTGCAGATGCAACTGTGACGGACAGGTTCCAGCGAGTGCTGCTGAGTTGGTCGCGAGATGCCGGTCCGACGAGCAGACGGGGGGTAGTCTGACGCACGACCTGAGACACCTGCGAGCCCAAAAAAAATACACACATGTATATATAGTTATATATAGGCGCATAAATATCAAAAAAATTGGAGAGGGAGAGACATGCAATGATACACTATTTTGTGTTATTATATCTATATACTTATACATGTGATGCTAAAGCTTGTTGAATGTAGGGTTCAATGATATGATAATGGATAATTCCCAGGGTGTTACGAACCATAGAGGGGATGTAGTGGTGATAAAATATTTATATATGCATATACACATGATTATGAAGATGAACACATAGAAGAATTAAACAGACCCCCCAGCGTCCCTCGATAGCCACCCAAAGGTTTTTTTCTAAATAAGATTTGACTTGGGGTGTTGGACGGAATCGGGGTATCCTCCAGAGATATCTTCAATTTATGTTACCCTCCCGTCATGAAACATCGCTATGGAGAAAGGCTCATTTATACACATGTGTTTCCATTAGAACTTCTTTGATGACTTCAATTTCCGAAGGGTACCATCCCAACTAACTTAGACCTGCCAAATTGGGGTTAGAAGATTAGTTTCCGCTAAAATCGCTAAAAACTGAGAATTGTCAGGGTCAAACTCTTTATTTAACCTTCTGTCAGCAGATTGGGCTTTTTCAGAGGTCTCACCCTATCTGAACGCAGATCAACAGGCCGATTCTATTGTGAGAAGTTCTGGTGCCATAGTTCAGTTAGGTATCCCAACTTGATAATATGTTGCTATCAATGGTAAAGTATGATAACAAACTAAAAATAAGAGTTTTTTTTGCTTAACCATAAGATATCATAAGATGTATAAGTATGATGGATAAGTCATCGATAATGATTTTTTACCATTAGATACATCATTGATATCTACCCTCTGGTAAACTAACATAGCTATGGAAAAACACCATTTTTAGTGGGTAAATCAACTATCAATGGGCCATTTTCAATAGTTTTTTGTATGTTTACCAGAGGGTATATCCCATTAATATCCCATTGAATCACTATAAAATCCCATTAAAAATGAGTTTTTTCCATTAAACATGGTGATTTTCCATAGTTTTTTTGTATGTTTACCAGGTCGGGTATCATGATCATTGTCATTGGTGTCCTGATCATTGTCATTGGTGTCCTCCCCTCCAGGAGCCGTTAAGCATCGCCTTAGCTGAACTCCTTCAGCAGAACGTCAGAACGTTGCGACCTGGCGAGAGAAATGGCCATGGATTCAATGGAAGAATGGGATGTTTAATGGGCTTTATAAAAGGAATGATTTTTTGGGGGAATATGTTTCTTTCGTTTTGTTTTTGTTTTTTACTGTTTCTGTTTCTTTGCTTCTATGCTTCTTCACTGTTCGGAGCGGAGCATCCCGGGATGTCAACATGGTCAGAACAAATCGGCTGTGAATCATAGGGCTTTTGATTAATTAAACACAACTGAGCCCATGGTAAGAATTCACATTTGTGGGATGACCATACCACATGTAGTATCTCTTGACCACACCACATGTATATGAAACCTAGCTATGGTTCCCAACGGAAATCCTTTCGGAAGGGATTTGCCAGCCATTTCAGGTACCTTTTAGGAAAACTGGAGGTCCCCTACAGTGGATCGGTGCGGTGACACGGTGAAATCTGGCGAGGTCTGGGCAACATTTGGCCAATTGTTTATTGACCTTGTCACGTTTGTCCTTGTGCAATGAGCAGCCGGGAGACTCAGAGATCCACATACACGGGCACGCCGCTAATATTTTTGGAATTCTTGAGATCGGATGAAGTTTGGGTATGTCTGAAACATGTCTGAAAATGAGGATGCTCACGCACACACATATATCATATATATATATACACACGCATATATAATCACATATATTTATATATACAGATATTCTTGTAAATGTATAATCGACCCTTTTGCTTATTTGTTACGTAGCTCTGGAACATCACATCGTAGCGAGATGATGAAATCATGGGGAACTGGAGGCCAACTCAACGGAGTCCCGGGATAGGAACATAAGCCTGGCGTAGGTGCGCAGAACCATTTGAGAACTGCTTGGTGGTTTGGAACATGAGTTTTATTTTTCACTTATATATATTTTTTAGATATATAATATATATTGGGAATAAAAAATCCAACTGACTTTCATATTTTTCATATAATACCAAGCAGTATAGTAATGTCGTCATATCAACGTTTTTCAACGGCCCCAGTGAACCAAGCTACTTCGACCTGGAAACATGGCAGGTTTGCAAGTTTGCAGGCAGCTTTGCAGGCATGTGGGTTTGCCATGGAAGAGCATGGCGGCCTAGCGACGTACAAGTTGTAGCGAGAGAAACGAAAAACCACTTAGTAATTTCCCTTTCCCAGAATTAACAGGTTGACCTTGATAATTGCTGAATTTTAGTGAAAATTGCATAATCTGTAATCTGTGCATAACAGTTTGCCACTGAACATTGCCCATGTGTGTATATATATATATACACATTAATATATGGATGATTTTCTTATTAAGCAAGGGTGATTTTCCATAGCTATGTTAAATTACCAGAGGTGATTTTGTTTTCCCCGGTTGGTGTTTTTTAAGATTTCAACCAGAATCTCACACCTGCAGCTTTCACAACATTCAAACTTTCCAATGGGGAATCTTCCAGACTAATGAGGTTCCATGTTTTGTTCCCATCGTTTATAGCTAAACATCGAACGCTGACGTCAGCATTTGTATCCAACATGAACCAACCCTACCGATGCATTGATTTTGATTTTGGATCATCTCACTGGTATAAGTGATCCACTATACCACTATTAACCACTATTAATAGTTATTAACCACTATTAACCACTATTAACCACTATTAACCACTATTAATCACCACTATTAATCACATAAAAATGACGCTATCGCCCGGCTGAGTTTTGCGTTTGTCACACTCAAAGGTGTTTGACCGGCCAACCATATGACATTTCTAAAGCACAATTCATCTGTATTCAAGTAGAATAGCCACATATCATGCTGGCTTCGTTAGGCGGTTACAACTCGGTTGGCTCAGTGGCCCCCAGGATCTTCGTTGATCACCATCAATTGATCAATGCCTACTTGGAAGATCTTGGAAGCGTAATTCCAGTTAGAGATATCTCAAAACAGTTTAAAAAGACCAGTTTATAATGGTCTATATTATAATATATATAATTATATATATATATTTGATTATACTTAAGTATATATCATATTCTCAAGTTGGGGGGTCGTTTCGCAATAGTTAAACCATATCTTATAGGCGCGGCTGCTGCGGCGGGACGTGCACTTTGAGCCGCAGCACTTGGCAGCTCGGCTATGGCCCCCTTGAACCATGAACCCTTGGGGATAATGGGGCCGGGGACTGGTGACACGAAAATGCACACGGCCCGAAAAACCGGAACAGTCGTGGAACCTTGCTGGAACCTTTTGCCGTTGGGTAAAGCTGGGCTAATAAACTATCTCCTAAATTTAAATCACTATAAATTAGGGGGTATAGTATAAAGCATTCCCAGTCATGGGTGGTTTATGACTCTATGACATTGTTTTACCCACATTACATACAGTGAACAAGTGGGAAACAATGGGAAGATGATGGGATTGGGGAAATCTTGTCTTCGCTATGTCCAGCTGATAGTGGGAGTTGCACATGGCCCGAAGGTCAGCATGCTATTGAGCTCGCAGGGTATCTAGAGCTGGCCATTCACGAATGCCTTGGAATTTCAAGAAAATTTGGCAGAAATCCCTTGATCATCTTAATCCCATCCGCCGTTATGTCAGTTCATCCCCTACTTTTTACCATGGTTTCTGGAGGGTGTTCAAGGGGTGAACTGGGGAAGGTATTAAATTATACTGACAAAAACTATTGACATGTGCCTAGCACCATAGATGTGGATGTTAGGAACAGAAGACAGATGTGTCTACCATTGGTGTCTCTATTGTCGCCATATCTCAGCCTTCGCGAATGGTAGGTTCGTCCCCACCAGAATACATAGCTCCATGGGATTGCTAGTAATATGTGTGTTGTATTGTTTGTTTCTTTGTACCATTTTATACCCACATTTATGTTCTTATAAATATACATAATATATATATACATATTCACATATGTTCGGTGTTGTTTCCAATATTGAGGCAGGCTACCAAGGATGAATGAATCATTGGGCCCTGGGAGTTGATGGTTGGTCCTCATAAATCCCACCTGGAGCATCCCCCGGGGGCGTCATGGTGCCATGGTGCCGGTGCCATGGGGGCGTGCCGTGTCTCCCAAGGCCAACTCGTTGCACGCCCTGGCCGGGATCTATGGTGATGGTGCCCGGGAACCCGGGAACCCGATCAGGTCACGGAAGCTGATCCCAGCGACTGGGATGATGGGCAATTCACATAGCGTTTGGTTATTTGTTACATAGCCATGGTATAGATGGAAGCCATGGCCCTAATCGAAATAGATGAAATAGATGGTTTACCTATTAAAAATGATGATTTTCCATGGCAAACTGTTAGTCATAACCAGAGGGTAGAGACGATTTCAATCGCTTTGATGTTGACTCCAGGGCCTGAAATGTTCGATACATGATGGCGGCATGATGCTACATTCATGCTATTGATGTGCTCTGCAAGAGCCTTTATATAGAGTGCGAAAAAAAAAATCATGGCAGCCTTTACCCTCTGGTAATTTAACATAACTATGGAAAATCACCATTTTTAATGGGAAAATCCACTATTTCTATGGCCATTTTCAATAGCTATTTTGACATAACCAGAGGGTTGTGTATCCCCAAGGACGCCAGTTGCTGGTGAGTTCCAGAAGCTCGGAGTTGGGGGATCAACGGGACCATCCCTAACTGATGGCTTCAGCCGGCTTCAGACCTAGGCTGATGGATTATATAAACAACCATCGTAGAATGATCAGTGTATAGAATCTAGAGATATTTTTTTAATGTTCACCATATAGTATAGTGTTATATGTTATGTTGTTTTATTACTACTCATGTTGAACTGTGCATTGTATACAAAAAAATAATAAAACACTAACTCAAGTTACTCAAGGATACTAATTGCATGTTATATATTGAACTATGGTAACTATCTGAATGGTGGTTTGGAACATGTTTTATTCTTCCATATGGTTGGGAATGTCATCATCCCAACTGACGAACTCATATTTTCAGAGAGGTAGGTCAACCAACAACCAGCTATAGTTACCCATAGGATCCATGTATGCTATATATGGTAACATTTACCATCAATATACCCCAGTCATGTTAGCATATATACCAGCACCATGGATCCTATGGGTTATAAAAAAAAGGTTCATCAGCCAGGACCTCGGGTCCCGACTGAGGCACCTCCTCAAGCCGCACTCTCCAGTCCTTTGCGCGGAAACCGAGTCTTCAAGCTATTCAACCCGGACCGGCAAACTGACATAGCTTTGGAAAGTGGCCCATGAAAACAGGTGATGTACCTATTCAATCCTATTCACCTATTCAACATGTTGATTTTCCATTTAATGGTAGTTTACCGAAGGCTAAGCCAGCTATTCTTTTTGGATAGCTGGGATAAACGTTTACATGGATGTGGAGAACCTATGGCTTCCCGTTCGGCAACTGATCTACATTCATGCTGTGGCCAACGTATCGATGTGGACAGACAGGGAGATGCCAGATGGAGACAACACTCGTTGATGTTGTGTGCCCAGATATGCATTAAAATATGTGCATATGTATATATATATATACATGCATATGGTAATATACATTATATACACCATATCCCTATATTCATATGCATTTATTTATGTGTAGGTGAACTTAAGCAGAACCTTCGCTGGAGGCCCGGATCGGTTGTGCCACGCTTGGTGGATGAGGTCGTGCAAGGCGGAGTTGATACTTGGGACTTGGGATCCATGGCGAAAAGTCGTTGAATCGTTGAAGGTGGACATATTGCAGTTATGGCCATTTACCAGTTATAACTGGTTATTTCAGTGGGATTATACATGGTATAAATGGGGTTTTCTTAGTACTTATAACTGGTATAACTCGGGCCATAACTGTGGAATATGATGGAAGTATTGATATAATAGTGGCATGATGATGGACATTTTGAAGGCGGAAATATATGACATATTGAATGTTGGAATATGATGATTCTCCAGTGGGTTTTTGGGGATTGCTGGAGTAATAAGTGAGTGGTTGATCATGATGCTTTGTTCACGCAGGTGTATGTACAGTTATGGCCATTTGTCAGTTATAACTGGTTATTTCAGTGGGATTATACATGTTATAAATGGAGTTATAAGTACTTATAACTGGTAAAGGGCCATAACTGTAGGATATCTCCACTTTGAAATTGGTACCTGTGGCAAAACCCGAACACTTTTTTTATCCCCAAGCCTTAGCTGAAACAGGTGGTTGTTCAAGCGCAACCCCAATTGGAGGTTTGGTGCATGGGGTTTGCAACATTCAAATTATCGGCCAGCCAAACAAACAGTACCCTCTGGTACTTTAACATAGCTATAGAAAATCACAATTTCAGTAGGTAAATCAACTATAGATTGCCATTCTCATCCAATTTCCATGTAGTTATGTAAAATTACCAGAGGCTGCTTATCTCCATTTGTTCACACAAAGCACCTGGTTTGCATGTTCCGGTCTGATGGCGATGGTGCCTTGGTTCGGAAGTTCGGGTGAGGCTCCACATGGCAGCAGAACCCGCAGTTGTTGGTCAGGAGCCAAGGTTACACCATGGATGATTTGGGCTAGAACAATAGAGGATAGTTCAGGGATGGGGGCCCCTAGTTGGATATAACTTGATATAACTATACTTAACAGGCTTTATATATATAAAAAAACAACTTTATAACTGACAACTTGGGGGCCCCACCCTGCAGGTCTTCTATTCACTGCATTTTATGGAAAAATGCGAAGGATTTAATGGATGTTTTGCCCATACCCTCATACTCGCTGGTAAGACACCAGTGTGCGGACATGTGTGGACCGATATTTAAGTTCATGTCGGCAAAAAATCAGCGGTTCTATCACAAGGAACTCCTCACTTGCCCAGAAAATACGTAGCGATGCTGTTCCAAGAACGGGAGTCGATTCCATCGTGCCCGCGCAGCTGAACAGGAAGTAGATTGATGCTATACTATTGATGGCATGAGCAAGAATGATCAACAACCCATGACATCATGAGAGTTTCACATACATGGAGGAACAGTTAGATGTGGCTGCCCCAAGCGCATTTGTTCTGCAATAAAAATCCCTCGCGTCGAAATTCTAGAGCATATCCACATATCAACCTATCACAAGAATGTGATGGATGTTCTTTCCCTTTGAAATTATGTACTATTTTAAAATATAGTTTCGAATGCGGTAGACCCAATGCAGTGAACCGTGCCCAGCTGTAAGCATTTCCAATCCTTGTATCACCATGGGTTACCTCACAAACATAATATATAACATAAATACCTTTAACATCCTTTAACAAGTCACCGGCATCTACTAAAATCACCCAAACAAATACATACTGAAGTGAAGACAATTTCAAAAATCAAGCTTAATCAACACTCATGAAAAACTCATCCAAACTCATTTCTTACATTTCTTCGCTTGAATAAAGATGTTACGCCCAGCCTGGCGCCGCTGGCGCCGCCTCGCCCTGCCGCTTGGCGTTGCGGCGCGTTGCACGCCACGGCACGTGGGCAGCTCCTTTCTGGTGACGCGGGTGCCGCAACTCTGCGAGGAGGAGGCGGTTTTGGGGGACCCATAAATTTGGATGGTGTTTACAGCAACAATCATTATTACCAACATTATTAGTATACCATATGTTGGTAATACATAGCCACTATCATGTTGGTGAATTTTGGGATGGTTATCAAATGTAAATTACATGATGATCATCATCAGGTGTCCAGTTTTTGGGATGGTTCATTATTACCAACATTGTAGCGGCTATATGAAAATTCTTTTGGATGTTTAAAGTATATTTGAATGCATTTTATGCTTACATATCCGTGTGTACAGGTAACTACACGTATGTTGATGTATATCTACAATTTAGATCGATATATACCCCATAAATCTTTGCATTTATACATATTTAGCCAGCTATTGTTTGTTCAGGGCATTTGCTGTAATGATAGCTATACCATCCGCAACTACAAACTGTGATACTTGTTATAACTATAGTTTTAACTATCACACACACACATATATATATATATATATATTGGTGCAGTTATATTAGGTTAGTTTTACATCCATAACATCCATAAGTGGGGTATAGAGCACGCAGGTTTGGATCATCTGGATCATCCCAATGGCAGGACCCACGGGATCCACGGGTGTCGGTGGGCGATGTCTTAGCCTTTCTGCACTCTGCACTTCGGACGAATCAGATGGGCGGTGATGATGGTGATGGCTGTTGTTTTTTTCATTGGATTGGTTTTCACGGGAAAATCTTAACCGGAAACCATAGTTTTTACCATTAAATATTATAAATATTGGGGTTTACTGTTAAAAAATCCCTTAAACCAATCCATTGTTTTTTGCTGGGAAAATCTAAAGCTGTATTTCAATCATTGAAGCTTGGAGGATCATGGAGCTTTCTGGGCAATTTTGAGTGATGATTGGAGATGCAAGCGACTTGCAAGGTAATCCACAACCAGGGCTTATCAACCAACAAAAACCCATTGATTAGAGCTTACGTGCCTTTTGATTGGCGATTTCCCATTGAAACAAAGCCTTCCTGGACCCTTGAGAGCTGGAATATTCTGGCTTGTACGGTTTTTGCGGCCTAAACCTGCCATTTCGGCTGAAGCCATTGGCCCCTGCTGGTTTCCACGATCAATGCAGCAGTAACCGCAGCACCGCTCTGCTATGGCCTCACGACCTGACTGATAAACAGTGTAGAGAGTGGAATGGCGACACGAAAGAAGGCGACTCAAGGCGTGTCCTCCTGAAATGCGATTCTTCTTCTTTGGGCTGATGCTTTCGAGTTTCGGAGCCGGTTGTGTAGCAGCCTTTTTGCTGAACAGAGTTCATGGTTCAAGTCACAGAAGGTCAGCGTGTGGCCATGGGTCAACTGGTTTCAAGCCATGTTGAACTCCTTAGGCATGGCATCTCCAAAGGCCCTGGCAGCTGCCACTTGGGCGTTATTCCATTCGGTTTGCCATTCGGCTTGCCCTTCGTCCATGTTTTGCGCAGGATGTTCCTTTATTTGCTTGGTTTATTGTGGATGCAATGGCTGATCCTTTCCTGATTTTTTGGAGCAGTCTTCCAATGAACAGTAGCACAGCCGCTGCCTTCGCAGCCTGATGTGGGCACAAGGCATTTTGGGGATGGTACTTGCATGTGCACCTGGCTTGGTGGCCCTCTATCGCAAGCCTTTGCCGAAGCTTTTTTTGCTGGTGCAGTGTTTAGATCCCATTGGAAATGCGGAAATGCAGTGCTCCTGCTGTCCGGCAGCCACAGGTTGGTCGATAGTGAAGATAGCCAATGGATTCAACAGCCCTGCAGTTCCAGGTCGCCTGAGCAGAAACCAAATAAACTAACTTCGGGTGATCCGAAATGGGCCCAGAAAATGGAGGAACTGTCATTGCGAGGCATGACTTTGAGGTGTTTTCAGCAGTTTTACCAAATCCAGCTGCACATGGTACAGGGATGGAAGTACGCCCCAGAAGAGCACAAGACGAGAGATGTGGTCCGCAGGGTGATCATACCGCTCACAAGCAGTGAAGAATGTGCCTATGCAGTTTCAAGTCACAACAAGGATGGCCCCCCGAAGGGAACAAGTCATGGTCACTCACAACTGGGGCAACCACTTCAACGGCCTGTTGGCTGCAGTCTTGTCAGACGCCCTGCAGGATGGGGCGCTTGGATGATACTGGATCTGTGCCGCTGTGAACATGCCAGCATTTGCCACAGAAATCCATTGTTAACCGAGATCCAAGTGGACCAAGTTGCTGCATCCAGTGTGCAATTGCAGTTGCATAAAAAACATCAGTGACACAGATGGCCGAAGTGTCAAGTCTGAAATCAACAAATTTGACGACATGATGAGTCATTTAGCCGCCACTGGAAAGTGCAGACTGGTAATTGCAGTGGACCAATCTCTGGATCAGTTGCGCACCCCGAAGCAAAAAAGAGGCGAGGCGCAAATTCGTTTGATCAGGCGGCAATTTTGGCTGAGTAGTAAAACAACGTGTCTCATTATATTTCAGCATTTGAGGGCAAGCATATGAATAATTTTTGCGTTATGTGTAATGTTGTCTGACCAATAGTGATATCTTGTCAATAGTAGAAACATTTTTCCGCAACTCCAATTTTTCTCCAATACTAAAAGTCAATTAGCTCCATTGACTTTTAGTATTGCCAAAAGAGTCATGTTCAGACCTTGTCCAGAGGGCATGGCCAATAGTGGACCCAACATGGCAATAGTGGAAACTTTTTTCCCAACTCCAATTTTTTCTCCAATACTAAAAGTCAATTAGCTCCATTCACTTTTAGTATTGCCAAAAGAGTCAAGTAAAGCAAATCCTTTTCAAAGCAGCCTTCACTTTCGATTAGCAAAAGCCTAGATTCCAGAAATCTGATCCCATTCCAAAACAGGTGATTTCCTTATTAAATTCTTATATAAAAATTGAAGAAAACAGGTCCACAAAGGGTACCCCCTTTGCAAGCCCCAGAATAGCAATAACAAACCTGCACCAGGCATGGCAATAGTGGAAACATTTTTCCGCAACTCCAATTTTGTATAATTTTGTTGTCTTCCTTCTCCTTCTCCTTCTTCTCCTTCTTCTCCTCCTCCTCGTCCTCCTCCTTCGCCTCCACCACCTCTGCCCCCACTTCCATGCCCACTTCCGCCTTGCCAACTCTTCGCCAATCTCTTCGCCACTCGAGAATCTATCAGATACAGTTCCCATATATACAGATACATATCATGATCCCAGCTATAGATTCCCAAAAATTATTATAGGAAGGTTGACCCCCCCCTTAAAAAAAAGGGCGGGGTAATTACTATTAGGCAGCCAACATTACTGAACCCTATTGGATTTTTGTAAGTCTTCCTCACTTCTATCCATTTCTTCGTTGGTTTGGTTCGTGTTGTTTTAAACAAAAATGAGAAACCATAGGTTTTCAAGCGTCAAGTGCCATTGAAACATGGAGTGTTCCCGTGAAATTTCCATTACTCGCATACCCCCGTAGAATATTGCACATATAGTTGCAATGCATTCAACACTCAAGTGGTTCTTCATGCTAAGAGGAAGGAATTCAATCAATTCTCGGATGGGTGGGAATGTTTCGAAATTTAAGATTCAGGACGGATACTGCAATGTCCAACAGAACAGTTAGTTCCAAACCCAGGGGATATGTCCAGTAGCAAGTTCGACATGGATTCAATAAGCTTGAAACATCGCCAACTGAATGCTTTATACACAAGGCTCTTCGACATACAGATATGGGCATTCGAAGGATGATACAAACATATTTACATACAAGCCATGCTCTTAGGGTGCTTCCTTGGACCAAGTTTGACCTGTTTTCCCACATCTTGCTGAACCACAAATGATGGTTACTTGTAGCATGGGCAATCACCCCAAATTTGACAAACATGGCCACTGGATTGAACATTTTGCATTTTGTTCAGCAGCCCATCATTATTTTCCATATTGTTGGTTATCTATCGATCTATCTATTTTTATCTATTTTTCTATTCTCCTATCCATTCCCAGCCTTGGATAGTTACGTAGTTTCATCATTTAGTCTTCGCTATAAACGCAAAATCACCAGAGAGAGAGAGAGAAAGAGACAGAGCAAAAGATTCTTTTTTGCGGACTACCAAAGATTGACGATGTATTTGTCTATCCCAATGAAAGTACAATCATATCCTATGCCCGTTGTGTCCCCATCATATCCTCATAAGATTTGGACAACAATAAAACTTCAATAATATCCGATTTTGGGATAGTTATCGCATGTTATCACTACTAATTTGAATTGCCCGTATTTGGCTTAAGACTGGTGGGGGGGGGCCGGGAAGGGGGAGGGGGTGGTGCACGGCAATGTGCTCAAATTTTAGGAAATAGGTGTTTTTTTGAAGAAAACCAGTCGGATCCAGTCGGGACGTAGGCGGGCACCAATTTTGCACTTTTTGGCACCACTTTTGGCCAGTCGGGATCCAGTCGGGCACCAATTTTCGAGTTTTTGGCACCACGTTTGGACTTGGCGGGAAGCAGCTAAAATCACCCAAAAACGTGCCCTGCAAAAATGTGTTTTTTTTTATGAATTTGGCTGCCTCCCGACATTGGTGCCCGACTGGATCCCGACTGAATCTAAGAACCCACTCCCGCACCTATTTTCCCCTGCCCAGACCCACCCTTGCCCCTATTTTCTTTTTCCGCGCACCAGCCGTGCACCAATACCCCCCCTCCTGCACCAAAACGGCAAAAGCAGTCTTAAGCCAAACGGGGGTTCTACAACTACTAATAAATATATATATATATATACAATATGTGTATATATATATATGAATATATTATATTATGTGAAATAAATATATAATTGATTAAGTAGATCCCATTCCAATCCCCATAAAACGGTTGGTTTGTTGGTTTCACTTCAGGAAGACCCCATCATATCGGGACAATCATCACACGACATCCTTAGGAAATCATCGGCACTGCGGCGAGCCTGAAGCCTAGTTGAGATGGTGGGAAGTTCAGCACCTCTGGTCCTAGGCAGATGTATAAATCTATTCCAACAACATATGGGGGTAATCATGTGTATGTATTATATATATATATATATATATATTTATTTATTTATTTATTTACAAGTATTTACACACACATATATATATGGTATCACTATATTAAATTACCAAACGTTATCGGAGATGTTGCTTCAGCGGTATATCCATAAATGCTCCATGGTTCTGGACATGTTCCCCAAAATTTGGCCCTAAACACGGGTAAACATACCATACATGAAGCATACGGGAGAGGTAAATAGCTTAGCACCATGGATGAGATGTGAAAAAATGTGAAAATTAATTCCCACTTGTTGGAGACAAGGGACCGACCATAAATCATGCAGACGCTATCTTTTTGAGGGGGCCTTCGATTCCCCCATTGTGGGGAGGTGTCCGGAGGTGTCATACATTTTTAATATTTTTTACACATGGCGTTTTGGGTGGTCAAAGAGCGGTTTACATTTCGTGATGTTATTTTGGGGGGAAACATCAGGAAAGCCATGCACGATGATGGCTCAAGATCTTGGGTACCCTCTGGTAAACAAACATGGCTATGGAAAATGGCCATTTATAGTGGATTTACCCATTAAAAATAGCGATTTTCCATAGTTATGTTAGTCTACCAGAGGGTACCAATGATTCAATGGACCCGAACATTCTGTGAGTTGGATTCAGCCAACCTAAAATTATAGGAATTCAGTCATGATCAGCCAGGTTTTAACAATAAATTACACATTGGCGTCGCTGGCGTCGCGCCGTTCCAGTCGTTTGTCTTGACCGCCCTGACACTGAGATAGCCCGGTGGATGAAGTTGAACGGATGCACATGATGGCGCAGGCAGTGTTTTTTGTCGAGGAACGTTTGGCGGGTCCTTGGGGCAATTGATAAGTCAACCATGAAATAGCCTGCATGAAATTGACCATGATTATATATTGACTACTAATCTATTAATTCTATTTCACTACTGAATGCTATGTCCTAGGTCCCAGAAAGTGAACCAAAAAATTACAGTGAAATTTCCGGAAACCATTTAGTAGAGAATCATGATTTAAAAAACAATTACTTTACTTCGTGTGATCCCCACCATGACATTTATACATTTTCTTACTGGCAAATCTTCTGGCATTCTATCTGACATATCTTCTGACATTCTATTTGGCATTCTATCTGGCATATCTTCTGGCATATTATCTGGCATATCTTCTGGCATATCTTCTGGCATTCTATCTGGCATATCTTCTGGCATTCTATCTGGCATATCTTCTGGCATTCTACCTGGCATATCTTCTGGCATATGTTCTGGCATATCTTGCGGCATTCTATCTGGCATTCTATCTGGCATACCTTCTGGCATTCTATCTGGCATATCTTCTGGCATTCTATCTGGCATATCTTCTGGCAGATGTTCTGGCATATCTTCTGGCATATCTTCTGGCATTCTATCTGGCATTCTATCTGGCATATCTTCTGGCATATTATCTGGCAAATCTTCTGGGATTCTATCTGGCATATTTTGTGGCATTCTATCTGACATTTTATCTGGCATTCTATTTGGCATACCTTCTGGCATTCTATCTGGCATATCTTCTGGCATATATTCTGACATATCTTCTGGCATTCTATCTGGCATTCTATTTGGCATTCTATCTGGCATATCTTCTGTCATATCTTCTGACATTCTTTCTGACATTCTTTCTAACTTTCTTCTGCACATTCTTTGTCCCATATCTTCCTACATGAGGTCCGGCAGGGAACACTTGGCGTGGATACTCGCGTTTGAGGTCCGGCAGGGAACACTGGGCGTGGATGGTCGTGGTTGAGGTCCGGCAGGGAACACTGGGCGTGGATGGTCGTGGTTGAGGTCCGGCAGGGAACATTGGGCGTGGATGGTCGTGGTTGAGGTCCGGCAGGGAACACTGGGCGTGGATGGTCGTGGTTGAGGTCCGGCAGGGCACACTGACGTGGATGGTCGTGGTTGAGGTCCGGCAGGGCACACTGACATGGATCGCAGTGGAGCAGGAGGAGGACGAGGAGGACGAGGAGGAGGACGAGGAGGACGACGAGGAGGAGGACGACGAGGAGGAGGAGGACGAGGAGGAGGCAGGAGGCAGGAGGCGGCAGGAGGAGGAGGCAACTGACATAAAATCTAACAACCCTCACCTGGCAGGTGGGGAAAAACTGATAGAAGCCACGAACGCGAATGCATTTTTAACATGTTATGGAGAAGTGAAGTCATAGACAGCTACGCACTTTTTTTTACCCCGCATAGCGCTGCGGACATCGCCACCGCAGCGCTCGCATATGTCACACGCGCCACACCGCCGGCGCCGCCCATGTTTCCGCGCCGCTTTGCAACGCCTTCGCCCACACAGGCG